GTGTGTGTGTGTGTGTGTGTGGGTGTGTGGTGTGTGTGTGTGGTGTTTGTGTGTGTGTGTGTGTGTTGGTGGGGCGCGCCTCATCCGCCGGATGTGTGGGCGGGCTGTGTCTCCTTTTCTCGCCGCCGGCCCCTGCTTTCACAGGGAGGGGGGGGCAGGAGCTCCAACAAGCCGTTCAGGACAGAGAGTGAATACACATACTTTACAGAGATGCTGTATGAGAAACCAATGTTTACCTTTTTTAATTTCCACTGTTTCTTATTTTCGCTAGTAGACTCCCTGTTGATGCAAACCTCAGCAGGAAGTGGTCCGTTTCACTGGCAGTAACTTGGCAATAAAACAACATGTTCTGGGATTGTGTTGCTTTCTTGCCAAAAATTGAATGAGCAGGTCAAAACACTTGTGTCTTTACAGCAGCTAGTTAGCTTAGCGCAGAGCTTGGAAAAAACAGCTAGCCTGACAAACTGCTCATTTTCGTACAAAAAAACTCATAAGTCACTTTCAACTTTCTCTGCATCATTTAGCTTATTGTATTTACTTATTCTCTGACATGTATATAGCAGGGTTTCCGCTAGGATTTTTTCTTGCCGGTCAAATGTCCGGAAAGAATAAATGTTACCGGACAAATTTGAAACTTACCGGTCATGTTTCAATAATAATAAGAATTGTGTAGCAGTTTCCGTTAGCAGGTAATTACCGGACTATGACCGGATATGCTGATGTTTAAAACTCAGTTAATGGGGCTCATTTTTAGATTGGCCCCGGTGTTAATAAATTACCGGCTAACGGAAACCTTGGTATATATTTAACTTAATCCATAGTACTTCTAGACTGGTCTAGCAACACAATCTGCACTATTTTATTCAAATGTACCGTAGTGTGTTTCATTTGCACTAATTGTATTTGTATTATTAAATGTCATATATATATATATATATATATATATATATATATATAATAAATAAATAATATGTTTCATTGTTGGAGGAGCTCGGGGCTGAAGATTTTCATTGCACACTGTAGCTACTGTGCATATAATAATACAACTCTTGAATCTTGAGTGTGTGTGCATCATGTTTGATGTGGTCTGCTTTTGGTTGTCAGAACTCCAATGGCGTCAACTTCTACAACATCCTGACCCAGGAGCCGGATGAGAGCCGCAGCTCTGCAGCAGGAGAAGACTATATCTGTAAGAATCTACAGCTCAGCCAGATGAAAACTGACTGCCGATAACTGAGACGTTCATTATTAAACTAAGAGGTTCTGTTCCCCACAGCTCTGCAGGTACGTCGCCATATCAGACCCCTCCACAGCCAATCACTGAGCCAGCTGATGAATGGACCAATCAGGAAGAAACTGGGCATCATCCCCCAGAACGTCACCTGGGGAGGTACTGTACCGATTCTTTAGTTCAACATGCATGCTTTTCCAGAGTTTATTTGTATTATGTGTGTGTGTGTGTGTGTTTCAGGCCAGGCAGAGGAGGTGTTCAGCTACATGGCAGGAGACTTCATGAGGCCTGTGGTGGACGTAGTGGACCAGCTGCTGAGCGCTGGAGTCAACGTCACCGTCTACAACGGCCAGCTGGACCTCATCGTGGACACCATGGGTAACTCCCTCACTATATTACTTTAAGTGCAGCAGCAGTGTAAATGTACTCAAGTACTATACTTAGTTACCATTGTTTAGGTACTTGTGATCAACTTGTGTATTTTTATGTATTGCTATTTAATACGTTAACAACATTTTTAAGGCAATATTGTACTTTTTTTTTTAAACAAATGTACTTATTGGCTACTTTGCAGGTATGGATTTATTATACAGAATATTAATCAACCAATAAATCATTATGTTTTATTATAGGTTAAGCAACACAGCAGTATATCAAGTCATCTAAATAATCCCCACCTTTACCAAGTGAACATTGAAATCAATGCATTAATAATTATAATACAAACATGTCATATTTAAATCTGATATGGGTCATACTGGAACATTTGTATTTACTTTTTGTACTTGAAGTACAGTTTGATGACAGTACTTTTACTTGAGGAGAATTTTGAATGCATAACTATTACTTGTAACAAGAGTATTTTTACAGTATAGTACTTAAGTAAAATATTCTTCCACCTCTGTGCAGTGAGGCACTTCCTGTCACATGGTCTATTCTTCTGTGACATGGGCCGCGGTCCATATTGCATGCCTTCCTTTTCCCTTATACTGCAGCTGCCCCCACAAAGTTTGCATTTTAGGCAAATTATGTCATACTGGTGTATTCCCTGCGCAAAGGATTGTGGGTAAGAATAGCCAAAAAAAACCTGATGTCTTGCACACTGTAAAATGGGACAAGATGCATCCTGGTATTTTAAGCATGCTGCATTTGACATAAAGAGTACAATTTATAGTAAGGGTATAATGTGGTGCAGGAATGATTCCTAAACCGGGAAATGAGTTGGCATTTTATTACTTCCGGTTGCCTCTTTCTTCTTGAATTCTGGTTTTTCGAATGATTTTATTTTTTGGTTGGATTCCCGAAAAAAGGTCTGGTTAATAAAACCTTACAAAATGTAATGTTTTGTACTAAAATATAAAAAGCAATACTTCACTGGCAACTGTCTAAATCTTTGTTTCTTAAAATCAGTGGTTGCTAACAAGTGGCTATATGAGACTACTAAAAATCATCTTGCCAAACATTATCTGCCCTTAGCTTAGCGGTGTTGACATGTAACCATGCCAACCTATCCAATGGAAAAAATCCCATTGCTTTTTGTCAACTTCTGGGTCGGCCTACACAACTAATGAGCCTCTCTAAAGTATGGGTACTGAAGCGCGCCATTGGTCTGTACTTCCTGTCACATGGTCTGTTTTTACTGTCACAGGTCAGGAGCTGTGGGTGAAGAGGCTGAAGTGGGAGGGGCTACCTGTCTTTAACAAGATGAGGTGGACCCCCCTGGACGATCCCACCTCCCAAGGCGTTACTGGAGCTTTCTGCAAGACCTATAAGAACTTTGGCTTCTATTGGATCCTCAAAGCAGGTCACATGGTAAGACACTGGCATTTGTTGTTACGTATTGGTAATTTGATATGTTTGACACTGCTTGGAGACTAATCCAGTTCAGTTTATTAAGGATATTTTAGAACTCGTGTTACCTTCTCATGATGGAGACTTTTGACTTCAGATGTTAAACTTGTCTTTGTGTCCCAGATCCCCTCAGACCAGGGCCCGATGGCCTTGCAGATGATGAAGATGATCACTCGGCAGGTTTAATATCCAACTCTGATGCCAGCTGGAATAGCTCTGACAATCTCTATGATCACATGACCTTTTTTTTATATTTTCTGCTAAACCAAATCAAGACTCTGAGCTCTGTGATTAAAACACTGACCTGTTTAACTTTCAGCCAAAAAACAATAAAGGCACTTTCTTTTGTAAACACTGAGTGGTTCCTTGTCTACTCTACACCATCAACTGTTCTTACTACACATCTGAAATGAGTGCTACTTTTGTTTTGTCATTCTTTAATGAAAGCTGTATGAAACAAATGTTTAATATAATTCTCATGGGGATGTTTGGTTTGCTGCATTTATGGAAGAAAGATAATATTAAAGGTCTCCTATTATACTGTTTTTCATCAATATATTATAGGTCTCAGATATATACAAAACATGTCTCTGAAGTGTTTGGCTCCAAACACCAAACAGATCATTGCAGTATTACCCATAATCCCCTCGGTTTCAGCCCTGTTTCAAAAGTGCTGATTCTCTGTCTGTTACTTTAGATGAAAATAAGGAGCCACGCCCCTCTGAGAGATATTTGGTTAAAAAGAACACAATAGGCGCGTTCACACCGGAGTACTTTTCCCGTTTAGTTCCGTTAGTACCCCTTATGTCGCGTTCACACCAAAAAGAGTACTTAGTGCCGGGAATTTTTACCCCCATGTTTAGTGCCTGCTGAGAGGTGGTACTCTCCTGGGGGTTACCTTGGTTGGTTATTGGCTAATGGTTATTTGTTACACAAGCCAAAATCGTTATGACATCACAATAAAGTGACCAAAATCTGATCAGCTCATTTTCAGACAGGTTTTTATATAAATGGATCAGGACAAAAAGAGAAGGGGTCTTTTTTCTTGAAACTTCCAGAATCTCTTTACACAGAGGGGACACATGTTTATGTAGAAAAGACAGGAACAAGTGGATTTTGCATAACAGGTGACCTTTAACTTATAGCTTATGGAAATAAATGGATCAATGAGATATTGGCCACGGCCACACTAGACTTTTTTAGTATGCCAACTAGGGCTGCACGATTTTGGGAAAAAATCTAATTGCGATTTTTCTGACAAAAATTGCGTTTGCGATATTTGTTTTTAAGCGTCCCAACGGAAGTTTATTGTAAAATGCGGCCATATCTCCGGCTAGGAAGGTCGTATCAACGTGCTCCCGTCTCTAGCACCCTCGCAGCCCGAACTACGAGTGAAAGAACTAAACTTACATGAAACTTCCGTTGGGTTGCTTTAAAGTCAAGCTTCAGTTTAAGAGTCACCCTGTAATAGAAACATGTGATGGAGCAGTACTGACCTGACCCAGATGGTTTGTTTCACCAAACCATCTAGGAAAGCTCCATTGGAAGCCATTTGGATGTGGAGCACAGCACTTCTGATTGGTGTGGATGACTGACACACAAGAAAAAAAAATGCGATTTGATATTCGCATCATTTAAAATCGCGATTTCGATTTAAAATCGATTAATCGTTCAGCCCTAATGCCAACATGCTAATGTTTAGCAGGTATACCAGGTTTGGAATGTTTGATTGCTTACATTCATTACATAGTTGGGCTAGTTTCCTTTAGTCCAAGTTTTTAGGTTTTTACTCATATTTACACAAACGCATGCTGTTCTGGCTCCGCACAAAGCGCTGAGATCATGAGGTTGAACTTTTTTACTTGTCTCTACAAAGTATTGTATTCTTTTTTAAATCACAATGAAATGTTCACACTGATTAACAAAATCATTTTTATTATCAAATTCAAAAGATGTTGACAAATTGATTTAAGTGAAGTACAAAGCCAATAAGAGCTGGCCCGTGAATACTGTATGAGAAAGTGATCACATGATGTAGTAGCTTGTTGTATTAGTCTTTAACAAACCGTTAAAAAAATATCCTTCAGTTCAGTTCCCTCAGTTTACAATGTTCTCCTATAGTTAACATAGATTGATCATATAAAGCACATTGGTGGATCCAAGTATAAAAGTGCTGAATCCACATATGCCAATGAAAACGTAAATATGTGGTATAGGCTATTTGGATAGGTAAATCTTGTCAAGTGATAAGTCTGTAACCCGATACATCACCATACAGCCAACCGGTACAATGTTAAATATGGATTATGATTTAAACACACCATTGCATTGAGAAACCTGAGATGTAATATGAGTTAATATGATTAAGACCATTGTGCAAACGTCATGCACAGAACATGCATATTAGCCCTTTATATGCTTCATATAATATTCAGTAAATGATCCTTTATCAAATGCCGTCTTAGGCAACACAGGAGACTGAAGATACTGTAACTGCAGCACATACAAGTAACATGTAGTAAGTAACATAAGGAATGGTTAAACAATATGGGGAATACAATAAGACTTCAATGAGTAGGAATGGATATTGAGCAACCAGTCTTATCAGCATTATATGACCGGGTTTTGATATTTTTAGTTCATATTAATTTCATATAGTTGTAGAAATAAATGTGATGGTATTTACACGTTGATTTTCATGTATAATGGTTAGTGTGATAGAGAGACTATGTAAGGTTTTGAGTGCTTGTTGATTGTTATACGTGTTCCTGCCCAGGGATTTCAGATATACATTAGCATATAGCTAAATCTGGCATAATTCAGATTTGGGCTTTTCTATGCATGATCCTTGTTTATGAAGACATAAATACAACTCAAGTCTAAACACAAAATGTAAAGCTATAGCTAGTTAGCACAAATGCTGGCAACAGGTGGCAGCAGCTAACCTGACTTAGCATCATCATAAGCTTACTTATTAAAACAGAATCTTTTAATTAGTCCAACCATCAGTAATTCAAAACCTTCACGTACCTCAAACCCTTTAAACCAAACACAGTTTTTGTACAAATGAGATATGATGCGATAGTTAGCTTAAGCTGGTAGGTGGACAGAGCCAGGCTAGCTGTTTCCACATGTTTCCAATCTTAATGCTAAACTACATTTTAAGATCAAGATGCTAATTGTTCTCACGTTTTAATCACATTCAATTTAGCTCTGGACAGATTTTGCCCAGTTGTCAGTTGTTTATGAATTCAGGTGTAGCCCTGAAGAAAACCGCTTGGTACGATTGAATAATGATCCTTTGGTTGTTACCTTATCAAGAAGGGGTGCACAATTAATCAAATTGTTGTATAGAATATATCGAAATCCCGATATGGATTATTCAAATTGCAAAAGGCACAACATTTGTAAAAGGCTAAAGTACAGATTTCCAGACTGATAAATTGTATTCTACACACTTAACTATGGGTCCTTGCAACAACAAAAATTGAATGTTTTTCAATGACAATGGGAATTCTGATTACAAAACTTTCTATACCTGGCCTGAAACCCACAATTCTTCTAAAATCGTGAATTGCAATTGCAATATCAGTCAAAAAATAATTGCAATAAGTTATTCTGCAGGCACGAGTTTAATAATGTTCATCATGTCGTTAACCTTCCCATTCTGTAATGAAGTGACATTCAGATCTTTAAGTCATTTTGTTTTGGCCTCTGTGTAGCTGAGGCTCCTTCTGCCCCAGTGGCTCTCTGGCAGCGGGAAGCCCTTCCTGATCACCGGTTCCACCACCAGCTCCAGCAGGCCGGGGGCTTCTGGGATCTCCAGCTCTGTCACTCTATAGAAGTTAGAGTACGCCCGGCCCATCAGAGCCAGCTGACCGGGGGGGATCCGGGGGTCGGGTCCTCTCAGCCGCCGCCAGTACACCCTGAAGTGGCGCACAAACTCCGTGGGGTAGTCCCAGTGCATAGTGGCGTTTAGGTGCAGGCAGGGAGAGGTGGAGGTTCCAGCACCACGCAACCACACCACGTCATAAATACACAAGCCCTTGACCAGCTGAGGGGGGGTCTGCAGACTGGCTCCATCCATCAGCTTATTGAGAGACAGAAGAGGAGACAAAACTGATCCAAGTCAGATTTATCACAACAGTAGTTAGTAAATTTACACAAACAAGGAATTTGCTTCGTTGTAAAATTGTGCATATATTAGTACATCATAGTCTAGTTGCCAGCAGTGTGAACCCGGAAATGTTGAGTACCCCAAAGTTTTATGATATGAAATGTATAGTACGGGTCCCCAGCACATAGAAACCTCCGGATTCGTACTTGCATATGTTGGGCAATTTGCACATTTAGCATAAGTTGCGTTAATTAGCATGAATTACCATTATAGCCTATGCAGACAATAGTTAAACAATGGCTTGTCCGATTTGGACAATTTGTTGTGGTTTTAGGGGTTATGGAGGATGTTGAATCCATTTCTGACATCTCTGGATCAAACATTGCAATTGTAGAAAGTGGCCATATGTATACTCTCGTGGACTGATTTGACTACTTTGAGTAGTGTTGTGACCATTGGATAAAGAGAGCAGAAGATGAACATTATTATAAAACACTTACAAATATGGAACTATTTTAAAAGCATTTCAAAAAAACTTAAATAAATGAAAAGAAGGGTTTACAAGAAATATAAAAAAGTAAGGCCATTCAAATAAAGTATTGTAATTCTGATTGTTATTCTGAAAGGCTACAACATGAAGTGCCTCTGGTGCTGAGACATTTCAAATGGAAGTGCTCAGGTGTTCATTTAAGGGTAAAGAGGAGGTCAGTGGAAGCTCTGTGGGACAGTGGGCCTCGCTCTCACCAGGATCTCTCCCACTCTGCAGCTGATAGGCGTTTCCTGCGCCTCTCTATCCCTCTGGATGCTCACACTGACTTCTCGCAGAGCACAGCCACGGAGCTCCAGCTGTGAACATCTGCCCATGGGGGAGAAACCAAGACTTTAGCATGACATCCTTTTACTGTAGCTGTTAGAGTTACCTTACCCGCAAAATTGGGAAGGTTCATTCAAAAATGTAATCTGTTACAATTACTAGTTACCTGCTTAGAAATGTAACCTCCCCAATATTAAAGTAATGTATCCTGATTACTTTCTGTTACTTTTGGATTACCTCAAATAAATATCAATAAGACTGCTTTTACTTATTGTAGTCTGATCAAAAAAGAGTAGACAACACATCAATGTAACATTAGAAAAGAAGAAACCAAGATATTCAACAACAACGTGACTACTTCTTAGTGTTTTAAAAAAAGTCCAATACTGAATTTGATGATGATGAAGTAAAAAAAGCAAGCAATGTTCCGTCCACTACTTTAATAACTTGCATGCTGTTGAAATTATGTTTCAATATATTAGCAATTATGCACGTAAATATACTTTGTTAAGTATGCTATTACCACTTCACACTCAAACTTTATTCAAACAGTCCCAAAGTAACATCAGTCGTAGTAGACAGGTTAGTTGACGTGAGTTAGCAAACATCAGCAGTTAGCAGTTGGTCGTACCCCTAAAAGCTTCTTCAAATGAGACGTAGGCCCCTCGGATAAAGAGAGTTTATTAATAGCTGGCAGGCAGAGCTTCCACTTAACGGTGATGTGAGCTTTTGTTTAGAAAATGTTCCCCCGGTGAAAGCGTTTTGAATTGTTTGATGTTTTGTAACATTGTAATCCTGGTAGTAATCCCCAGTTTAATTTTTTTTAATGTAATTACGTCTTTCTTTTCTGAAACTCTAACGGATGACAGTAGCGCTGTTGCATGCATTCCGTTACTCCCCAAACCTTACCCGATGGTCCAGCCGCCTGCACTCAGGTTGCCACACAGCTGAAAGAACTGGCTCACCGACTCCAGCCCATCACCCAGTCCTGCAGCAGACACAGGGGGAACTGCAGACACACATTTAAAGGTTAGCATCACCATACAAAAGTGATTAACCTTTACAACCATCAGCACCGAGGAACTAGAAGCAGGAACAAGTGTTTATGGAGATTTAATAAAGCAAATAAACAAACAATTACCAAGCAGAACCATGCGGTCAACCAAATATCTCAAAGCTAAGCTTATCCCCATTGTCATACGATAAACCCGCACATAAAGAAATATCATTCAAGTTAAAAACCGTTAAAGCCCTAAGGTCGTTCCAAGGTCCAGGTCCAAACACAAAGGAGCCCCTTGACTTTGGAACAACCTCTCTGAGGAGATCAGGACTGCAACATCTGTCTGCTCTTTGAAGTCACCTTTAAAAACTCACTTTTACAATTGCTTTTATGTGATTCTACTTTTAGTTTTATTTTATTTTTCATTTATTCTCATTCTATGTACGGTATTTCTGTTTTATTATTTGCTATGCATTTGACTATGTATTCTCAAGTTGAGTTTATTTTGTTAAATGCACTTGCTGTCCGTGTATGTTAAATGTTGTAAACTATGTTTTGAAAGGTGCTATATAAATACAATTTATTATTATTAAACAACACACCCAGGTGAAAATGACCAGAAACGATCAATTACCAATGTGTGTGGTGTAAATGAAAAATGTGAATAATAAAACAATAAACACAGGCTAACGTAGCATTTTGGCTCATACACCCAGTATGCAATTTGATGGGGGATGCCACAAGGGGTTGGCAACATTTCTAAAATGCATGCCCCACGTTAACCTGCCACCAAACGCAGGAACAATCTGGGGTTAAGGATCTTGGCCAAGGACTCTACGACATGATCCTCTCACTGTTAGACACTAATTGACCCCCAAAGCTAGAGCAAATTACAATCTGTGTCTCAGATCAGTAAGTAAGAGTCCTAACGTGCTGATGTTTCGGAATCATGGTCAGACCAGACACTGGATGGATGGTGAGATACTCACCTTTGACATCATGGACGTTCATGTGTGTGCATTGACTGGGGTCTGTTGTCTTCAGTTCCAGGGATATTCTGATCCCAGGCGATGACTTGTAGATGAGGGTCACCAGAGTCTTGGGGGCCAGGATTACATCGAGGGAGAAGATCCTGTCAGAGTGAATGAGGGGACAATTGTGTTAGGGGAGGTAGAAGTAGAGAGATCTAATTTTCCTCAACATTAAAAAATGTAATGAGGAAGAAACAAACACACACTTTGCAGTAACTGGAGATGTGTGTGTGGCGGGGATGACTCCCTCCAGCAGCAGCGAGCAGCCTCCATTCCAAGCGTCGTCAGGGCAACTGCGGCTGCTCAGCCACCCCCCGCCCTCCAGCTGTGTGTTGTTGTACAGGGGCTGCACCTCCTGGGCACTCAGGTTAAACCAGCTCCTGCTCGCCTCAAGCTACACACACACACACACACACACACACACACACACACACACACACACACACACACACACACACACACACACACACACACACACACACACACACACACACACACACACACACACACACACACACACACACACACACACACACACACACACACACACACACACACACACACACACACACACACACACACACACACACACACACACACACACACACACACACACACACACACACACACACACACACACACACACACACACACACACACACACACACACACACACACACACACACACACACACACACACACACACACACACACACACACACACACACACACACACACACACACACACACACACACACACACACACACACACACACACAAAATGTGCAGTCAGCAAGCAAAGACTCAAAAGATAACGTATCCCACATCTCATGGTGATAATGTAAGTATTTGTAGCATTATGACTGAAATCGTCAAAAAAATAAAGCTGTTATATTCAATATACAGTGGGCTTAATAGTGTGCCAAGTGGCACGCCAATCTTTTCTTGTTCCAACGAAAACACTTTTTTTTAATTAACAATTTTCTTCCTTTTATGTAAATAAGGTTTACAAGTGCATTAAAAAACATCAATATAGAATAAAATAGCTTTTTACCTAAAAGAAAGTGCCAGGGGAGGACCCCCCCCCCCCCCCCCAACAAGAGAATGTTATTAACTGGCCCCCAGATTCCTGGCCCATCATGTTTAGTATCTCTGGATTAATCATATAAATGGACTGTTACTAGTTAAAAGCCCTTAGCGGCTGCTTTTGGGTACCTGTCCTCTCCTGTAGATGGCCTTCCCAAAGCCCTGGCAGAAGGAGGAGACGAAGGGGAGGGGTGAGGCGGGCCGATGGATGCTCAGGAAGTCTGACAGAAGAGCCCAGAACCTGCACACAGCACATCCCCACTGACTAACATGCACTGAAAGCGTTATCTTCTTCTTTATTGTGTGTTTATTAGGGTTGGGAACTGAAACTCGGTTCCAGATGAGAACCGATAAGAAAATGCCGAGTACCGGGTAACCATACAAAATACACAATTTCGGTTCTGCTTAACGGTTCCTAAACGCGGTAGACCCTGTATTCCACCGGGTCCGTTTGCGCCGCGGTGACCCGGTGGAATACAGGGTAAGGGCGGACTGGCCATCTGTGTGTTCTGGAGAATCACAGAACGGCCGGTCGTCAGCGGGCTGTTGACGGCCGGCTTGGTACGCTGGCGGCCGGTGTTGTGTCAAATTATGCACCCCCATCATGAAATGCACCCTTGTCACGGGAACGCGCATTTGTAAATGAAACGTTAAGACCTTAAAACGATGCTTAAAACGAAAACTAAACGTCCAGCTAAATTAATGGTAATTTACAGACTGTGAGTTGCTTAGTGGTAGCTCATATAGTCTTGATTCTTGTGGTTAAATGTTTCGCTCCGTATTTTGATGGTAGTGGTGTCGAATAGTGGAGCGAAAACTTTAACCACAAGAATCAAGACTATATGAGCTACCACTAAGCGAATCACAGTCTGTAAATTACCATTAAAAAAAACCTGGACGTTTAGTTTTCGTTTTTTTAAGCATCGTTTTAAGGTCTTAATGTTTCAGTTACAAATGCGCGTTACTGTGACAAGGGGTGCATTTCATGATGGGGGTGCATAATTTGACACAACACCGGCACCGCCCTTCATTTTTTTAAACGGCATCATGTAAGTTGCGCTGACAGGCGACAAAGGTCCACAGTTGCCCCGCAGCGAGGCTCCCCCCGCCCTCCCGTAGACAGTTCACGAGCTCAGTCACTTCATAACACCAAAGATGGATGGATGGATGGATCGCCGTAAACGCTCTAAAGTGAGGCTCCACTACACTAAAAAAGAAAAAGACAAGGCACAGTGTAATGCCTGTTAATAGCTTGCCACAGGCATAGCTCAGTTCAAATAAAGCACAGCTATTGTGCAATACATTTGTATTGCATATATTTTTTTTTATTTGGAAAAATGTCAGTTAAAGCTTAAAAGAATAAAGATATTTTTGTCATCTAAACGTTTGACCTCTTTCTTTTACAATTTTGGAATCGAAACGGGGAATCGATAAGAACCGGAATCGATAAGCAGAACCGGAATCGGAATCGATACATTTCAAACGATACCCATCCCTAGTGTTTGTACTTAGGTGTTATTACTGATTTTAATCATACTTGTCCTGATTCTTGCGAAACTGGGTCTTATCACTGAGGGTCTCGTACACCCAGCCTGGAGCAAACAAGGCAACAGAGAAGTTGTGCTTTCGAATGATTTCCAGCGCCTGTAGACAACCAAAACAAGAATTTTCACATCATTTAGAACGGTGCAGGAATGAGTTATCAATGGTGCAGGAATGAGTTATCAATGGTGCAGGAATGAGTTATCAATGGTGCAGGAATGAGTTATCATTGGTGCAGGAATGAGTTATCATTGGTGCAGGAATGAGTTATCATTGGTGCAGGAATGAGTTATCAATGGTGCAGGAATGAGTTATCAATTGGTGCAGGAATGAGTTATCAATGGTGCAGGAATGAGTTATCAATGGTGCAGGAATGAGTTATCAATGGTGCAGGAATGAGTTATCAATGGTGCAGGAATGAGTTATCAATGGTGCAGGAATGAGTTATCATTGGTGCAGGAATGAGTTATCATTGGTGCAGGAATGAGTTATCATTGGTGCAGGAATGAGTTATCAATGGTGCAGGAATGAGTTATCATTGGTGCAGGAATGAGTTATCAATGGTGCAGGAATGAGTTATCAATGGTGCAGGAATGAGTTATCAATGGTGCAGGAATGAGTTATCAATGGTGCAGGAATGAGTTATCAATGGTGCAGGAATGAGTTATCAATGGTGCAGGAATGAGTTATCATTGGTGCAGGAATGAGTTATCAATGGTGCAGGAATGAGTTATCATTGGTGCAGGAATGAGTTATCATTGGTGCAGGAATGAGTTATCAATGGTGCAGGAATGAGTTATCAATGGTGCAGGAATGAGTTATCAATGGTGCAGGAATGAGTTATCAATGGTGCAGGAATGAGTTATCATTGGTGCAGGAATGAGTTATCAATGGTGCAGGAATGAGTTATCAATGGTGCAGGAATGAGTTATCATTGGTGCAGGAATGAGTTATCAATGGTGCAGGAATGAGTTATCATTGGTGCAGGAATGAGTTATCAATGGTGCAGGAATGAGTTATCATTGGTGCAGGAATGAGTTATCATTGTTGCACTCCCTCCTTTTCTCAATGGGTTTTTAGAAAATGTTTATGAATACCGAAATACAGTGGTGCAGGAATGAGTCCAAAAACCAGGAAATTATTTTGCATTTTACCACTTCCAGTTCCTTCGTCTCAAAGTCAATGTTGTTGTTTTTTTTAACGTTTTTGTAGTTAGGGTTAGCAGCATAAAATAAAATCTGTGGTGAAAATAAATGTAGGAGATTTTCATGTTTTGTTTTTGAAATATGGTAAATACCAAAAAATAAATACCTTGAATATCCAAAGGTTCTATGTTTCATAAACTCGGAGACTGCTACAAAGTGACTAAATAAACCTTTAGTTTACACCCCTAGCCTTTAGTGTAGGGGTGGTGATGAGCAGACATGTGACTATGATGAAGTTTGTTTATAGCCTAATGTTACCTATTTACTTATGACTATTGCATTTACACTTCAGAAATCATAAAGTGGTGGAAGTATGTGGAGATGACCCTGTTGAAGAAAACGTGGCTAGTATCAGAATGTGTGTTTGCCACAGATCTTATTTTCTACAATATACCAAAAACCAATGGATGCTGGGTTTACCAACAAAAACACTTAATCTCCGCACCACTCTACAGTCAGGACTGACATTAATGAAAACTTCTTCAGCAACAGAAACACGTGTACCACAGTGTGTACCTTATTTGTTTCCCACATTCCTCCCACCACCTTGCCTCGGGCAAACACGTCCACTCCGACGTAGACGTCAGCCTGGCGGCCATCGAGGCCGCTGTATCCCGTCATCCACTCCAGGCTCTGCTCTGTCCAGTTGTAGTTGGTGAAGAAACCATCACAAGCACCGAAAAACACCCTGAGATTGAGATAAAGCGTTGTTTTGTTATCAATTAATCATTTTCCTTGGTCGTCTAAATGGTCAGAATGCTTGATTTGAATTGAGGTCTGTTTCTAACTGTCATTTCTCTACCTGTTGGACTCGTTCAGTTCGTTTTGCCATTTTAGCTCTCCTTTTTCGAGAACACTGTCGTACCACAGCACCAGGCTGCCGGGCACTCTCTCGTGCATCTGCTCTGTCAGATACTGCAGGAACAGAGGAGTGTTCTTCACCGCACCCTCCTGCACACACAGGACATCACACCATCACAATCAGGTTTATTGCCAGGAGCATTTACACATACAAGGAATTTGCTCTGGTGTATGATGGTGCCATCATAAACATACGAAAAAAAGCTGTAACAGGAGGTTACAAATATATATGACAGTACAGTATGTGACAAATAGCAGTTTATTATATAAGTGGAGGGTTGTGCAGAAATGTCACAGATTCACAAATGTCCCAATCCACACTAACAATAAACTTGATTCTGATTCAAATATTTCATCTTCAGGGGACCAAGAATATCTGTACAAGGTAGTCAGTATGGATTGGGATCAGGTTACTCACACTGAGGGAGTTCTCGATGTTGATGAGCCAGCCGTCGAAGCCGTAGCAGTGGCTGATCTGGACCAGCCTATCAGCCACCGCCCGGTACGACTCCTCGTCTTTCAGGAAGGCCTCACACACCACCGCTCCGTCAGTCCACTCTGTGATGAAGGTCCCTGAGAGCAGGAGGTCAGGAAGCCCCATTATGGCAACACTGACACTGTTATGCAATCAAACTATATTTGAAATGATGTAAGATTGGAAGCCAAACTCAGGATTACTTTGCTCTTTACCCACCAAGAACGACGACTCCGTGTTTATGTGCTGCATTGGTCCACACGACAGGAGGAATGGTCACCATGTTGTGTGTGAAGTAGTTGAAAATATCAATGTACTGCCAGTGGTAGAAGGCATACGGAGCATCGCTGTGTGTGCCCTGGGTGAAGCTGAACAACAAAGAGTGTGTGACAACAAAAACTGATTGCAAAGACAATTTACTTTGGAAAAAATGATTGCCACAAAAGATCCAAAGGTGCATAAGATGAAATGGAGAACAATCAGCTGGGATATGGAATAATAAATATGCCTGGCATGTTCTGTGTGTGCTTTTGTTTGTTGGACGTATTAAGCTCTCAACCTAGTTATTTGAAGTGTTGAAGCGATCCTATTGACACTTTTCTTTCTTTCTTTTCAATCAAATTAAATTGTCCATACCTTTTAAAACGTTTATTTTTTAAATGTTTCTTCATCTGTTTATTTTCCTGTATGGAATCACTGCCGGATGCTAACTTGCATATGTTGGGTAATTTACACAATTAGCATTAGTTGCGTTATTAAGCGTCTTTGAGAACCAGGAAAAGCGCTATATAAATACTGTGTATTATTAGTAGTATTTTTGTTAATTAAAATGAATGGCATTATAGCCTATGGAAACTATAGTTAAAAAATAGCTTGGCAGTTTTGGACAATGTTGGAGTGGTTTTGGGGGCTATTGAGGATGCTGAATACATTTCTGACCATTTCAAAATCAACAATGGCAGTTTTAACCAGAAAATGCCAATATTTGTACTCTGTGGACTCTTTTGGGTCAATGTTGAAGATTTAGGGGACTCTGTAAACTCAGAAACTGTCCAAACCGGCCAAGTCATTGTTTTACTATTGTTTAGCTATGATGCCTTTTAATTAACAATAATGATTCTAATCGTGCAAATTGCCCAACATATGCAAGTTATATGATGGGAATTTATAGTGATTCAATATATATGTAGGTTTCCTCGCTATGAAATGTTCTCAGACTGAAGGGTGTCGCCCTGACCATTGTCAGGCAATTATCATATGGATGTAACTTGTGGACAGGGTTGGGTTGTAACGGAATACATGTAACGGCGTTACGTAATCAGAATACAAAAATCAAGTAACTGTATTCAGCTCGCGTTACATTTGAAAAACGAGTAAACTTACTTTCGTAAACCTGAAGTGAATACATTTTGGATTACTTATTGGAATTATTGGTGGAAAGATTTCCTCACAACATTTAATATTCATTACTAAAGGTACAGCCGAATCATCACAGCGCACAAAACCTATTACCGCCGCAGATGGACCGAAAAAGGGAGCGTTTGAAAAAAAAGGGGCGGGTCCGCTCAGTGAAACAATAACAACAAAACATGGAGGAACAAAAGTCTGCGTTTAAGTCGTGTGTGTGTAGAGGTGTGTGTGGTTAAAACACATCAGCCTGCGGTCGCTCTTTAGCCTTTCTAATGATTCTGAAGGTAAACACAATGAAGGCGGTGCGTGAAAGGCACTGCGCGCTCCTCTTCTCAGAGGCTGAGTTAACCCTCCCGCTGCCTCCTGGTGCTGCAGAGATTTCATGAAGTGAAGGAGGTGTTCCTTCTATAAAACAGCTGTGGGCAGCAGATACTGTGAGAGTCACAGACATGAATTCATAGATCAAGGCAGACTGGTGCACACACTCTCCTGTTTTGCCAATCCGGTGCTTAAACAAATATAGCTCTACACCCCTGGCCGTAATGTCCTTAAAATGAAGTCCGAGTTTGACATTTTAATTCATGTCCTGCCAACACTGGCAGGACAGAAGGCGACACGCCCGTTCTAAGCCGTGTCCCTCACTCCTCACATCCCAAGCTGCATCCCCAGAAAGTGTATTATGTTGTTACATCGTTTCAGATGCTATGTTTCAGTTGTGCTCTTGATAAGCCATTAAAACAGTAAAAACACGTTCAGTTTCCTTTTGCTTTTTGTGTCTCCTGTTCACCAAAACATACCATCTGTGATGGAAAAAGAAAGTAATCCAAAAGTAATCTAAAAGTAATCTGATTACGTGACACGTAACTGTAACTGTATTCGGATTACTTTCAGAGCCATGTATTCAGTAATCAGTAACTGATTACATTTATAAAGTAACCCTCCCAACCCTGCTTGTGGAGAAGGCCTGCTTCTCCACAAGTGCGAGGAAACGGCTTGTAGCTGTCACATTTTTGCCGCTCTTGGACTACGGGGATGTTGTGTACATGAACGCCTCAGCTCACTCCCTTCATCTGCTGGACGCTGTTTACCATGGGGCTCTGAGGTTCATAACCAACTGTAAACCCCTCACACACCATTGCACACTGTACTCTTTAGTCAACTGGACATCACTATCAATGCGCAGATCACTGCACTGGTACAAACTCATCTATACCGCTATGCTTGGACTGCTGCCCCTCTACATATCCACTTACATATCACACAAACAGTACAGCTATAGACTACCATCTCAAAATGACATCACTCTGTCTGTCCCCTCAGTACGCACGGTGCTTGGGAAAAAAGCCTACTTTTTTTACAATGTTGTATTTGAGTGTTGCCTCTGTGTTTAGTGTCCTGTCTGTAACTTTGTGTGGTAGTGTTACCACTGAACAGGTCTCTCTTGAAAATGAGACCTTGTGTTTCAATGAGATTTTACACCTGTATAAATAAAGGCAAAACAATTTTTTTTGTAATTAACATGCTGTGCTTCCCCTTCTGTCTGCCCCCCACCCAATTTAGGACTGTAATGTGGATTGCCTTCCTTCCTGTGTCTCATCTGTATAAATGACATTGCTTTTCTGTGTAACGGGGTCAGACCCTGGTACTATCTACTCGTGCAGGACCTCTGTCCTTTCCAGCTGGAAATATGATTGATTCTGTTAAATGCTATAACTCTTTATTAAATAACACGACTTTGGTTTAAGCTTGTATATTTGTTATTTTCTTACCAGAAGGTGATTAAGTGTGGAGTTAGCATCCGGCAGTTTCTATGTGCTGGGGACCCGTACTTTATATTTCTAACATAACACTTTGCGGTACTCAACATTTCCGGGTTCACTAATATCTAGAAGTCTTTATGTAACCAGAACTCTTTTCCATACCGGTCATCTAAGTAGCCGCCCATCATGTCGTGAGAGACCAGGGTCCGACGGGCACTCGCGGCGAGGGGAGGGTCCCGAGGGGCCAAAGGGACAGCTGCCACATTAAAGAGGTTCGCATCGCTTCGTTTCCACGACAACAACTCCTCTAAAGTCTGAAGGCCGCAGCTGATTGGTTCGGTGGTGTCAGGGTCGTGATGTTTGGCTGACAGGGACAGGAAACAGAAGGTCACGTATAAAGTGTGGTTTGATGTGGAGGCTGAAGGACTGACAGAGCCTCACCTGGCAGCGCTGAGGAGTCAAAGTGGACCACCTCGTGGACCACCTCATGGACACTGCTGGAGTCCATGGGCTGGTCCAAACAGGACTCTGGCCTGGGGAGGACGTTTAGGAATCATTTACTAACAGATTAAACAATCGATAAGATAAGATATACTTTATTGATCCCACATCGGGTCATGTTTTCGTTACAGCAGCATGTAAAACAAGGCATTGCACATAATACGAAATTAAAAGAGTAGAAAATAAACAATTATAAAATTGAAACATCTCAAAATAGAAAATAAAACAGGAGTCAAAAATATAAGTTGACCGTGATACAGATCTGTAAACTATCTGACAAACACTACCAAATTACAGCTAGCACAATATCAAAGTAGGATATTAGTTATTTGTCAATTCCAGATTCTAATTTATGAGTTAACAAAAAAAAATCAATTCTAGAATAAAAAACAGACTTTCATGGTTTTCTATAAATATTTTAAAATGATTATATAGAGTAAATATTATTTTGTGATCCGTATGACTTTTCTCTCTGTATTTTCAATTGTTTGTATTGTAATGTATTTTTAAGCCCTTGTACATGACTTACCTCCAGACTTCTTTTTGATGTTTTCAAACTTATTTGATATAAAGTTTGTAGTTATTTTGACATGGGATTTGCAGTTTTAGGAAGGCTATTATAAACTATGCTTCCTGCCTTTTCACTTCAACTAACTCTGTTGTCTGTGCCTTGTCTCTGTAAATATTACAATTGTCCATCCATCCATCCATCTTCTCCCGCTTATCCGTGGTCGGGTCGCGGGGGTAGCAGTTCCAGCAGAGAGCCCCAAACTTTCTTTTCCCTGGCGACATCAACCAGCTCTGACTGGGGGATCCCAAGGCGCTCCCAGGCCAGCGAAGAGATATAATCCCTCCACCTGGTCCTAGGTCTACCCCTTGGTCTCTTCCCAGCTGGACGTGCCTGGAACACCTCCCTAGGGAGGCGCCCAGGTGGCATCCTAACTAGGTGCCCGAACCACCTCAACTGGCTCCTTTCGACGCGAAGGAGGAGCGGCTCAACTCCGAGTCCCTCCCTGATGACCGAACTTCTCACCTTATCCCTAAGGGAGACACCAGCCACCCTGCGGAGAAAACCCATCTCGGCCGCTTGTATCCGCGATCTCGTTCTTTCGGTCATGACCCATCCTTCATGAGCATAGGTGAGGGTAGGAACGAAAATGGCCCGGAAGACCGAGAGCTTTGCCTTCTGGCTCAGCTCCCTTTTCGTCACAACGGTGCGGTAAAGCGACTGCAGTACCGCTCCGATTCTCCGGCCCATCTCACGCTCCATTGTTCCCTCACTCGAGAACAAGACCCCGAGATACTTGAACTCCTTCACTTGGGGTAAGGACTCATTCCCTACCTATTACAATTGTATTAGTTGAAAATAAAAATAAATCTCAAACAATGAACTTAGTCAGTAACACAAACTCAGTCCCCTGATACTAGTACCCCTCCACTTCAGTGTACTCATTACGGAGAGTAGGGCTGCACAATGAATCCAAATGTTATCGCATTATGGACCTGTGACATATCTAAATGCAGTAACTATCTGCTGAATTATATGTCAATATGTTTATGTAGAAGTAGATTAACATTTAGTATTAGCTAATAATCTGACTCTATAAAGTAAATAAAGATGTGAAATAATTCCAGCTGAGTCAAAAAGTACAATATTGGTTTCCAAAATGTAGTGGAGTAGAAGTATATCATAACAAGTTATACTCAAGAACCTCAGAGTTGTACTTCAGTACAGTACATGAGTAAATGTTCCTATTCCATTCCACCACTACAACATGGAAATGTAAGTAAAGTACACTATAATATTTTAAAACTGTACTAAGGTGGGGTAGGTAAGTTTGAGAAACCGGCTCGAGATACACTTGTTGTTATATTCCATGGAATGCTCTTAACATCCCGATAGCAATGAATATCTGAAGTGCTTTGACAAAAAATCCATAAAAAATGTCATCTGTGGAAGCCGTGGCGCTGTAAAAGGCACAACCAATCATCTGAGCCGGCCCGGCTAAAGTAACTGGATGTCCTACCTGCCTGTCAGCCTTCCATCTGTGCACAAACTTATCTCGTGCCCTCATTGGTCATGTGCGCGTTTGTGTGTGTTGGAGGAGGGGCTCTGGAAGGAAGTGGCAGATTTGCGCATTCTAGCTGGTTTCTCCAAAATGACCTACCCCACATTTGCGTTTGTGTTAATCCTATGCGTTTAGCCGTTTTAATGCCCCGGCCACACGAGGACGAAAACGGTCGTTTGCGTTACTGTTTAGTGTCATATAGACCGTTCGGCCACACGAGGACGACCGAATACGGCACTAAACGACTGCGGAAACGATAACGGGTCCCAAGGTGGATAGAACGGCATACGCAACGCTCTGGGGGGTCCAACGGCTCCGTGTGTACGCCCTATACGATCATTTTCTGATAATGATGAGGCAATAGCCCCGCCTCTCCCCACCTCTGCTGCTCACCCCCGCGTCAAAGTAAACTGCACACTGAAGATTCAGATTATTTATCTTTCTCTCAATATGGACATAAACGCGAGTGAAGTCTAATCTGACAGGACGGAGACACCTCTCAAACTACCTAAACTAGTTATAAATATGTTTATTTTTACTGTCGGCCGGGTCACTCATTACTGGATCAGCTGCTGCATGAGACAGACACTGACGCTGTCCGAAGAGAGGGAGGAAAAAGAGAGGCTCCGTGTATTTTATTATTATATTATATAGAGTCGTTATTCATTTGTTTTAAAGCTCAATAAATAACAAAGAAGACCTTTGACCGGCACTTTTATAATTTTGTCGGAAGATTTCAACTTTAATACACGTTGACTGGCGAAAAACTCTGCCCGGTTCCCTCGGCCCCCACCGCGGAGAATAAACAGAAGGGCAACCATGACAACCATGCTTCTTCGCTGCTTTTGTGGAGGAAGTTACAGCGCCACGTACAGGCTCCTGCATATGTACTGCAGCTTCTCCAGCGGTTGCGTTTGCGTTAATCCTATGCGTTTAGCCGTTTTCGTCCTCGTGTGGCCGGGGCATTAGAGGGGGATTTTCTTATACTGCAGTTAGGGCTGCTCAATTAATCGTATTTTAAATCACAATTACGATGTTGGCTTGCAACGATTATGAAAACAACATAATCGAAGTAAAATGATTTTCTTTATTTTTCTTATTTTACTTTATTTTTTTTATTGGTTTTTCAGTTGAATTATACTTAAAGTTCTGGGTAATCAACTGTTAAAAACATACTGTTCACATTTCTTTTTTCAATAAATGGGTGGATGTTTTCAAAGTAAATGGATAATCGTTTTTAATAATCGTGATATCAATTATTGACCCAAATAATCGAGATTATGATTTTTGCCATAATCGAGCAGCCCTAACTGCAGTGTAAGGAATACTCTGTTACGAGTAAAAGTCATGCATTGAAAATATTACCCAGGAAAAAGTACAAAGATATTGCCATCAAAATATACTGAAAGTACAACAATTAGCACTCAATCTGCACAATGGCCCATTTCAGGATAGTATCAAGTTCAGAAGTATTATCGGCTAATTGTATTTCATGTAAAAATACTCAGTATGCAGAATGGATCTTTTGGAAGTATTACAATAGTATGGTTATTATAATATCCTGTTGTATCTCTAATATTTAAGAGCATATTCGTATTGTAGTTTGTCAATGTGGACCAGATGAGATACTTGTTGTACTGTGTAGATTATTAGAGCAAAGCATTCATCTGTCTGCACTACAATATTTCATTTTACATTATGTTCGTGTATATATACACAGTATACTGTAGACTCCTGCATGTACTTGGTCACTTACAACATTCTCTGCATTATTTAGCTTTTTGCTTTATTTATTTCTGACATGTATAGTTGACTTCATCTGCATTACTTACACAATGGTTTTGCAACATAATTTGCACTCTTGTATTCTACTGTTTTTTCTTGCACTATTATTTTTCTTGTTTAATGTCCTATATATATATATTATATATATATATTATGTTGCAATGTTGGAGGGCCTTGGGAGTTAAGATGTTCGTTGCCATATCTACACTGTAGCATCTGACAATAAAGCCCTTGAACCTCTGTGAGTGTTAAATAAATGTAGTGGAGTGAAATGTACAATATTGGCCTCTGAAAGGAGTAAAGGTAGCCTATTAATAACACCGCAACTAAAAGTACTCATCATCCAAAGTAACCGTTTTAGAAATAATAATATCACAGGGTTATAATTATTGATCCATAAATGTGTTTTACATTGTAATCGTACAACTGGCAAAGGTACCTTTAATAACTATTTACACTGCCAAGCACCTTAGTCCATAATAGTAAACGATATTGTAGTAGTTGATTTATTACTGTATTACAAATATTAAGCTGTAAAAGTAACTAGTAACTAATCTTGAAAAATAAATGTTGTGGAGAAAAAAGTACAAAAACTGCTTCCGAGTAGAAGTATGAATTAGCATAAAATGCTACTTGAGTAAATGAACTTTCCACCACTGGATTTCCACATTAATCATTAAAGGAAATGAAACTAACGAGTGACATGTCTCCAGCGTTGGAGCAGTCAACAGTAGTTACTCACTAACTAGCAGACGATGATCCAGTATATTCTGAAGCTGAACTTTCAGCAGTAACAGAGGGACAGGTGAGGTTACCTGCTGGGCTCCAGATCCCCTTCACTCACAAACGGGTCCATAACAGCACCAACAGCACCAGCTTCAGAAAACACGGATGTGTAAAGAAACCGTGAGGAAACCGGAAACGGAAAGCTGCATCATGGAACCAGGAACCACAGCACAACACTTCCGCCCTTAATCCTTCACAATAAAAGCGTCTGCGCTCCCATAAATACAAGTGTACAAAAAGCAACGTTTCAGGAACTTGAACGTTAAAACCCTGCAGTGGTGTACATTTACTCAAGTAGCCTACTGTGCTTAAGTACAATTTTGAGGTACTTGTACTTTACTTAAAGGTCCCATGTCATTGCCATTTCTACTGATCATAATTCCATTGTTGAGGTATACTAAAATAGATTTATACCGTGCAATTTTCCAAACTCACATTGGTTTCTCATACAGCATCTCTGTGTATTCACCGGTATTCACTCTCTGTCCTAAACGGCTTGTTACTCGCTACAGGGTGTACTTTGAGGGTTTGTGACTCTGCAGACCGTTTACATGCAGAAAAACCTTCATAACACACAAGGGGGCGGGTAATAACCGGAAAAGCATGACATGGGCCCTTTAAATTATAATATTTCCATTTTTGTCCCTGCTACTTTGTACTTTTACTCCACTACAGCTATAGTAACTTTAGTTACTTTGCAGGTATAGATGAATGATAAACTATAATATCAACACTTAAATAAGACTTTAGTTAGATCTGGATTAAATTCACAATAGGCCTATACCCTGCAGTAAATAAAGTAAAGTTCCACCTTTACGGCAGTGGCTCAGTCAGTAGGGGCTTGGACTGGGAGCTGTAGGGTCGTCGGTTCAAGTCCCTGACCAGACCTAAAATATGGAGTGACTGCTACTTGGAGAGGTCCCAGTTCACCTCCTGCTCTGCCATGGTGCCCTTGAGCCAGGCACCGGACACCTCCCTTCCCCCCTCACTCCCATTGCTCCCCGGGCAGCTGTACAATAGCTAGTCCTAGTACTAGACTCCTAGTCCTAGTGCTAGACTCCTGGTACTAGGATGGGTTAAATGCAGAGAACACATTTCACTGTGTGTGCTGTGCTCTGCATGTGTGACCATTAAAGAGGGTTTCATCCCTCCCAATTATATTCTATTATTTTCCAGCTTCATTAACATATGTATACGTTAATAATTATAAACTAATCTTAAAGTGGACCTATGCTATATTGGAAAAATATATTGTAGGGCCATACCATGTCTGTGAAGTTTTTTGCTTACAATACCAAACAGATCAACCATTAGGCGCTTTCACATCGGAGTACTTTTCCCAGGAATAGTTCCTGGGATTTTGCGTTCACATCAAAAAGATTTGCGAACTTTTTCACCCCTTTTTAGTCCTTGCTAGAGAGCAGGGACTTTCCTGGGGATAAAAATGATCCAATTTCTGATTGGCTTGGCGAATTGGAAAACCACGGCCCGTAAAACTCTGAAAAGTTTTGTGAAGCCACCATTGTATGCTGGCATTAGCATTATTAGCATTAGCATAAGCCCAGCGCACCAACGGAGAGAGACTAATTTATGGCAACACAAAAAAAAACATGGGAGCGGTGGAGTGGGTTTTGTTTTCTGACACTTTGTGAGCAACTTACTTAAAGTATATTTAGATGCCAATACTTTTTTACTTTTACTTGAGTAACATTTTCAATACAGGACTTTTACTTATATCAGAGTATTTTTACACTTTGGTACTTTTACTAAGTACAATATTTGAGTAGGCCTACTTCCTCCAGCTCTGAAACCTATAGCATAACCCTGTACTTCAATAAGTGTACATTCCTGCTCGCGTAACATATTTTGTTCCCTTTTAAAGGAACTGCTCAGATTTATTGAATGTTGTACATTTTATAATCATATATTTTATTATTATTTCAGAGGAATCCGTGCAGTGGGTTGTCTACAAGAGGACGGATTGAGGACAGACAGCTGGACAAAGAAACCACTCTTTTGTTGTTATGCAGGACCAGACTCTTTACTTGCAAGAGATTGGCCACCAGCAGCAAACCAATGCAGCAACAACCAATGGACTGAACGTGGAAAGCAAATATGGTGGCCATAAATAATACTTGCACGCATAATGATATAATACTGTACATGCAGGGCCGTGACCGTCCCTCCCTACAGTAAGATCACGCAGACTGCGTGGGTCCTCACCTTGCAGAGGGGGCCTCATCTTGCGGAGGGAGCCTCAACTGAGCTTAGTGTGCTGCGAGGCCCCCCCCTTCGACGACGCTCGCGAAACAGAGGGCCTCATCATATAACTTTGCTTGGGGCCTCAAGTTGGCCAGGGACGACCCTGTGTACATGTATGAGACCTGCAACACAGGCATCTTAAAGTGCCCATGTCATGCTTTTCTGGTTATTACCCGTCCCCTTGTGTGTTATGAAGGTTTTTCTGCATGTAAACGGTCTGCAGAGTCACAAACCCTCAAAGTACACCCTGTAGGGAGTAAAACTCTAACACAGAAAATACCTGTCTATGCTGCCCCAGAACGCCTCGTTGGCGATATCTCTTTTTCCATTGTTTTCTTCCTGGGTACAGTGACGTGCCCATACCCAAATTGACCCATTGGTCCAAATGGACCAATCCGTGCAGCTCCTCACACACACACACTCTCTCGGCGGCGAAAAAACTGTGACGGGCTTACACTGTGCGTTGCGTTTGGGGGTGCGGGTGCATTCGCGATGTCTCTCGCAGACCTCACGCAGCAAGCAGGAAATGAACCCAGCTCACACTGTCCGCTCCTCACAGCAGCGAGCCGCGCAGCGTCCCGCCGACACAGCACCCAGACCGCACGCAGCATTCTCATCTGTTTGTTATTACTGGTGTCATGTTCTGGTTGCTAACGCCATTGAAACACATAATCACTGATGTTCCGCTGTAACGGTGGTGGACTCATCAGAACAGAGTGGGCGAGCTGACCAATCAGAGCACAGTGGGCGCACAGGGAGGGGGGGGGGGCAGGAGCTCCAACAAGCCGTTTAGGACAGAGTGAATACACATGCTATACAGAGATGCTGTATGAGAAACCCATGTGAGTTTGGAACATTGCACAATATACATCAATTCTAGTAGACCTCAACAAGTAGATGTAGATCAGTAGAAATGGCCATGACATGGGACCTTTAAAATATAAAGATTGGTCTCCAACTGGAGAATAAGATAACGGAGTTTAGGAATAGAAAATATATTAGGCTATTTTGGGAACATTTTGAATATGTATTTTTTTCCTGATAACTATTACTGTATTTGCTGCACAAGAACACAAGATAATACTATACTACGGCCCAATCCCAAACCACTCCCTCGACCCAACCTCTCGGTGACGGAGTGAACTCTGTCTGTAGCCACACTCGCAGCTCAACGAGGCTCTCTCCTGTCAGATGGAGGGAGTAAATACAGCAGCATTTTGTGGCGGATTTAGGATTGTAGGAGATCCGGGGCTTAGCCCAGGAGTTGTTGGGGGGGGGGGGGGGGGTGCAGGGGTACAGTGCTACCCTGCCTGGGGGTGGACCGAACATCCTTTAGGGGGGTTGTCGCCTCCTCTCGGGGGGTCCGGGGGCATCCTCCCCCGGGAAGATTTTCTTTTAAATATTGAAGTTGAAAGCATCAATCTGGTGCACTTTGAGAGCAACATTAACCCTACCTTAATAACACCTTAAAGTGGACAAAAGGCACTGGAGAACACTCATTAACACACTTTAATGAAGCAAACTAATGCCTTAACTCACTCAAATAGTCGTTTACTTATTAAGGTGAAACGAATGTGCGTAGAGTTTTAAAGGATGCAGATAGTCTCACCTTGATTCTGACGCATTGCTTATCGTTTTATAGATCTATTCTCATCCACCATCTTTGTTTGTGACGTAAAAAATGTGTAAGAGTCACGTTTCTGAATCGGACACTCTGAGTGGATGCAGTCACAGCCAATCGGAGTCTGATTCAGAGGGTTGCCTGTCAGTTCCGTTGTTATGTGTACTGAAACGAGAGCCGGTATAATTCCACGCGCAAAAACAAAATAAAAAATGGAATACGTTATTTTAGTGTCTTAAAAGTAGACTGAGGTATGAAGGGTTAACGTTACATCTTAGGATCATTTTTAGTCATGTTCTGTATACATACTAACATATAAGGGTATACTTAGTGTGGTTACTCCATGTTTACTAGCTATAACATTAACGTTACATCACTCTTTTTCACTTCTTACTCAGTCAGCCAGAGTGCAGATATCACCATTAGATTCACAAACCTGAAACATCATCCATTTCTTCACTGCTGGTGATGACATTGTTGTCAGCTGCTGATACTGCTGCTGCTGATACTGCTGCTGCTGCAGCTTGTGGCGCCTGCTTCGATGACAATAACTTTCTAATATCCATAACTGTATAGGCTATTAGCTTAAAACTCGTTAGGCACTAGGAAGGATCACTTCTTCTTCAGGGCAGGCTACGCAGTACGCAGGCTAATGTCCCACAGCGGATGCCTCTCTGGTGGACTCCGGTACTGCACTTTACTCCCGAGACGTTTTTAAAAAATAAAAATAAATTGAATTAAACATCCGGGGCTTGAGCCCAAGTAGCCACCCCCTAGCGCCGCCACTGAGCAGCAAGCTTTGGGACGGCCTCCCCTCTCTCCGGCAGAAACAGGAAATGCCGTAACTGTATGTAACAACGGTTTCAAATCAGCATGTCTTAGACACAAAATGTAAATTAATAACTCAAATAAAACGCCAAACATCTTTAATTGTGTTTTTAACTTTTTTGTAAAGCTCTTTTAGTTTTAAACCTGATGTTTATAAGCTTCTTAGTTTTTGCAACAGTCTGTAAATATACATAACTTTATAATAGAATGCACACATTTACCCTTTTCTAGACTAAACACAGACCCGTTAAAAACATATGAGGTTATCATGAGGTTGTTAACATCGCAGTTTATCAGTGGATGTTTGCGGGAACTACCTAAACAAAATACTAATAAAAAACATGCCAAACAGAGCAGAGGTTGTTCGTGTAGA